ACCCTAAATAGAAATATTATTAATGATACTTTCTTTTCATGTTATAGATAGAGTACTTTTTTTTCATTAGAGTATTTTTCTTTTCATGATATAAAAAAGTATTTTTTTTCATGATGTAAAAAGTAATTGCTTTCCTTTCAACAAAATAATATAATAAAAGTATTTTCTTTCATTTCAACAAAAAAATATTTTCATCATGTTGAAAGTGTTTTCTTTCATTTCAACAAAAAAATATTTTCTTTTCATGATGTAGAAAAAGTATTTTATTTCATTTCAACAAAATAAGTACTTCATTTTCTACTCTCTAACCAAACACTAGAAATTATTTTCCGGAAAATTTTTTCCACTCACCAACCAAACAAGGGAAAATAAGGTATAAAATCACTCATTTTCCATGAAAATATTTTCTAGGAAAACATTTTCCATGGAAAACATTTTCCTTCGTACCAAACACACCCATAGTATTGTCCTTTTCATTGGATTTCACTTGGTTTGGTGTTTGTTGTTGCTGCCTTTTTACTCAAAAAACAGTGGAAACTATGACCATTTTCTTCCTTACATTTTGTGTGTCATGCACTTTTGCAGGACCTCTATCAGTTTCTAGGTTTGGATAATAGTTCATATTCTAACCTTATCAAAAGGAAAACCAGTTTATATACTAATTTTTTTCCAGGCTGTCTTATTGTTGTGGACTAAAGCAAACAAGTATTAATTTTTAATCAGAACAAAGCCTCGTACTGAATGGTACTTCCTACCTTTTTAGCATGGGGGTTGGGGTAGAGCCGTAAAGGTCACTGGATGGGGTCACCAGAGGTTGGGGAAAGGGATAGGGTGGATAGCCTCAAGAGTACTTTAGTCAGTATACAATGGATTTAGGAAAAGTTCCATTCTATAAAGTCTAGGGCGGGCCTTGTAATACTCATGCTAGTTTAAGATAGAAATTTATAGTGTGTTTGGTCGTGCTTCTAAAATCAACTTATTTTGAAAGGTTCTTTTCTCAAAAGTGCTTTTCAAAAAATTATTTTTTGTGTGAAGCAGTTTGTGTTTGACTAATCAATATGAAAAGTACTTTTGAGTAGCAATTAGTATTTGTCCAAGCTTTTAAAAAGTGTGTCTAAGTGTAGTTTTGTCAATAGTATTTTTGGACAGAAGCTACTTTTTTTTGCTTCTCATAAACTGCTTCTGCTTCTACTCAAAAGTACTAACTTCCTTCTAAAAGCTTGACCAAATGCCTCAATTTTGGAAAAAAGTACTAGCCAAAAAAAAGCTCGACCAAATTCATTTTAGTCCATGAAAGCTGATTAAGACTTGGGAGTACATATTGCAAGGTGAAGGGTACTATGTCTTCGAAGTTAAGTAAAATAACTAGACTCTAGTTTGTAGTAAAAAGATTTTTATTTTTTCTTTTGTTTTTAAATGAAAGCTAGTTGGTAGAAGAAATTTGAAAACAGGTAATTGAATAGTTTAGTGGATTCCGGACTAGTTACTTAAGACTTAGGGG